CGTAATTTTTCTGCTTTTAGGGGGAGGGCTGAGGACAACAAAATAACAGCTCTGCATCTGGGTCATAACATCTTGGAAGCAGAATGGACCTTAGCAGTGAGCTGTGGTGCGCTGGGCAGAGCACAGCTTTAGGGGATAAAGCCCTGGGTCCCGGTTTGGTTTTGCCTCTTGTCAGCTATCCAAATGCCGCAGGATGCATTTCCCAAGCTGGCTTTTCATCTGGTTTTCTGCCAGTTCTGCCCATGGAAAGAAAGCTTTGCCAGGAGATTGGACGGGGGCTGCAGGAGGAGCCTTGCGTATTGCTCCTCTTCCTTTGTATTTTCTAACCATTTGTAGTGGCTCTGGTTCCTTCCTTAGGAAAGGCCTGGTAAGGATCCAGCTTCCACAGAGACTCCGCCCTTGAGCTCAGAAGCTTGCTCCCCCTCCTCCCTGTGCTCTCCAGCCTCTTGCTGGTGGCAGCTTCCTGCTGTTGCTGACTCCTCTCCTCGGTTATCTCCAGGCTTCTCAGCACCTCCATCACCTTCATGATGAGAATTCCCTCCATTAAGCCCATTCTGTTGTAAATACTTGAAGCGGCTTCTGTTTTTCTACTTAGACCTTGAATGCAAACAATACTATTTTAAAAGTATAAGGTATTATGCTTATAATCTGACCTCATTTCCAGAAAATTAAGTATAGAAAAGAACATTCAAAGAGATGTAAGAAATTTTGCACTTAATGTGCTTGGAATGTTGGAAATGATCTGGAATTTTTTAAATTTTAATTTCTAGTTTCAACGTATTTTCACGTGGTTTCTTCTTTCTCTTTAAAATGAAACCTGAGGAAAATAAATTTTTTTAGAGAAGGTTGGTTTATAGTTAAGAAGTGTACTTTTTTAGTTGGCTTATGTTTAAGGAGGTCTACTTTTTTTATATTAATATGTTTTAGTTTTGTATTTTTTTTTAAACTAGATATACTCAGAATGCAACCACAGGAGTATTTTCACACAGAATTCTGACCAAGTAGAACTATAGCGATAGAGACATGAATTTATTTAAGATCCTCTTTATGCATATTTTTTCTGGGTATGCGCTAATTTACATAGTTAATAAGAAGAATGACCATTCAATCAGTGCTTTAATCTCTGAAGAGGAGAAAAATATGCATATAGTATATTCATTTAACTTCAGGACATAACTTTGACTCACACTGATCAGAATAGACCTGTTCTCATAAAATACATCTAATGTAAACATAGGCCCTTGGATTCTTATCAAAAACCATTTGTTTAAGGGTATAGAAACTTTTAAGGTTAAATTGAAGAGTAGAATTTTAGTGGAAATGCTGGGCTGTCTTTGGGAGGTTAAATCCACAGTTTCTCTGATATTCCTTCCTTTTGTATTTAAATAGCTGTGACTGTTCACATGAAGCATTTTCATATTAAATTATTTATGCTTAAAGAACATTGGAATTTTTAGTAGGGAAAAAGTCCCTGGTCAATGACTAGGCAGAGTGATGCACAGACCAGGAAAGACTGGGGCAGGCCTGTGACCTGGCTGTAGGACTTGTGAGAAAGTGCTCTGTGGTGGTGGCCTCCAAACTGGACTCATGCCTCCACTGCAGGATGGCAGCAGCCCTATCCAGGTGGTCAGCTGAGTGAGGGATGCCAGGTATTTCATGGGACTGCGATCACATTATGTCAGGTATTTGGGAGCTGGAATAACGTGGGCATGGCCAGATCTGCCAGGAGGGACACAATATGTGTTTATAGCACTAACATCTCAGTCAGACACTGTCGCTGCCAAAGTAGAGCCTAATTTTCTGCCCCAGTAGAGAGCCAAGTCTTATCTCCCAGGCAGTTAGAGTGTTATGCATTCTGTTCTGTAATACTTAAGAAGTAGACAATAGGTGGCAACATTATCAGGCCTTCCTGGGCAGAATTAGAAATAAGAGATGTGTTAGGTCATTACTGCATAATCCATAAGTAATTTTAAAAGTACAGTCAAAAATAAAATAGGCAAATACTTACACACAACTTAGAGGTGTCATGAGGCCTATAATAGCTAATAGGTTTTAGACTGTGTAAACTCAGGTGAGAAAAAATGCAAACATTAACAATAAACAGCTTCCCTTCTTGCTTTCAAGCTGCCTAAGTGCACTCTCCCCTAAGGCTGAGGCTGCAGACATAAACCTTGGGACCAGCTCCTCCTTCTCCCCGTAGCAAAGGCACTTAGGAGTCTTTGAATGGGTTGTAAGCAGTGAACAGTTTCGGTGGCGTCAGCAGGTGAGAAAGGCTGCTGGTTATAAGGAAATAGATTTATGAGCAGCACTGTCATGATGGAATAGGGATACGTCTTCTTGGGTGACAGCCCGCAGGGCAGCAGCAGTGGCTGGAACTATGTACAGTGGGGACTTTCATCCAATGGAGTTACCTTTCAAAGGCCAGGAAGAGACTGGAGCAACAACAGGAAATAACTGAAGAAAGTCCCCAGTGTGAAAGCAGCCTGGACAGTGCTGAAGATGAAACCCCATGGGATGCAAAACCGAAACATGCATCCTATGGAAGCTGGTGCCATCAGCCCAAAGCCAAAACGACCAGGCATTCTCTGGGACCCTGATTTGCTGGATGGATTAATTTTCTCCTGATGAAAGACAAGAATACCTCCTCCAATGTACTCCAAGGGTTTAAACAGAGAGGGATTTGTTGAGAAAAATGAATACTGCACAATGCAATTTTCCATGAATCGCTAGTGCTCACTACCAAAGGTTAGTAGCATCTGTGAGAAGAAAAGAGAGGTGTGGAAAATCTCAGCCATTTCCCAGGATGATATGAGAGATTCAGAGAACAAGGAGGCAGCATTTATTCAAACTGTTGGGCATTTCATATTGCAAAATATGCCAAGTTTAGAGTGATTTGTGCTTCAAAATTTTGGCCAGATTCATATTTGTTAAGCATATGACAATGGAAAATAGGTACAAACTGGAAAAGTGTCAGGTCTCTCTACTGTTTTTGTTTAAAATCTAGGTTAAAAATTTTTTCTGTGAGTATAAAAAGTAAGATTCATTAACAGTACAGAAACAGGTGATGCTGGCATTTCATGTAAGTACCTGGAGAGGAATTTAGAAAACTTAAAGTGATGAGATGGTGGTGGGCGTGGGGAAAAAATAAGAAATCTGGTTGAGAGAAAAAGAGCAGCAGACCTGTATCACCCCCACTCCCTCCCATATTTATTGTTTACCATCAGACCTTTGCCTGGAGGATTTATTTAAGCAATAAACATTTATCGAGTTCCAACTATTTGCTCAGCACTGGACAGGTTCTGTGCTAGGTTTATACTGATGACATGATCCTTGACCTTACGGGCCTCATGACTTAGTGAGAGAAGATAGACCTATAAAAAACTAATTGTACTCTACTAGTTGCAAGCAGCTTTGGAGGCATAGATATGGGACAATGGATACTCTTATTGGATAGAGATAAAATAGTCAAGTTTTTTAAATAAGAACTGATGTCTGAGCTTTATTAATGTAATTTGTAGTCTCCCCAAAAGGTCTATGTAGTGGGAATGCAAAGAGGAATATTCTAGAAAGTACAGTATTACAAAGGCATAGAAGAATGGAAGGACCTGATACATTCCAGTGATAGAAAGTTATCTGTTTCAATTAGGATATAGGATATGTGTGGGTGAGCAGAGAAGTGGAGGTGGCCGAGCCATGAAGAGCTGTGTCTATCCTGCTAAGGAACTTGAGCTTTTTCTTGCAAGTAATGGAGGCCCAATGAAGTCTTTTATGCAGGAGAATGACGCAATCAAAGACATGAGGGTGGAAAGATAGCTCCAGGCAACATAGACTAGGAACCCAAAGGAGAGAAAAAGATTTCCAGTGGCCCTGCAGCTGGGAAAGTCACTCCCTAATGTTTCTGTTTGTTTGTTTGTTTGTTTTTAATGTGTGCCTCACAATAATCAATTGCACATATATTTCCATAACTTTTCAAAAAATGAAGATTGAAGTGTTAAAAAATATGGACTCTGAAAAGCATACTTTGAAAATAAGAAAACATTCTTTAAAGGAGGCTATAAAGTCATTTACTGATGGCATTCATTTAGGTAAAAAACATTTCATTAGGATGTTAGGTCTTAATCATATGTTCCATTTATATCCTTTAAAGCTTTCACTTAATCATAGAATAGGCTAAAAGCAAGAGAAAAAAAAATAGGAGACAGGAAAGAAATGTCTTTTAAAAAGGCACAAGCTAAATGAACACAGTCAGTAAGCACTACTGAAATCTAATGTTGAGGGCTTAGTGTATAATCGTGGATTAGACGTGCTAAAAGCATCTTAGTACTTTGCTTGATTTTCCCCCTTTCTGTATACAAACCTAATCCTTTAATTTCCCCTAATTTTCACACTAAGGGTCCTGCTTTAGGGCTTCTTGTTTAAAATTATGCTTTAGTGATATCTCACATTACAGAAAATTATTCTCCTAAAAGAAACACAAAATGCTGTCAGAATTGTTTTGCATCTTTTTGGAAACACTTTGAAAATAGATAATCTATGAAACTGGTGGGATTTTCTCCCGTTCAACTATTTCCAGAGGAATAAGATGCCCAAAATATATCCTAAATATTGAATGTGTGTAGGCAAAGATAAGGCATCAGTACAGGCAATTTACTGGAAATACTTCTCTCGTTCTCAGCTTATGAAAATCAGAAAAGACCTGGTTTGTTTCCAAACTTTCGTTTAGGTTTTTATGCCCCCTAGTGGGCATTTCGTGTTTCTGCAGTTGTAAAATAATGCTGATCTTTTTACTGCATTTCCTTGGTGCAGTGTGAGTTCAGACTCTTCACATGGACAATATATGGCATTGATAATCCCCTAAGTATTAAAATCAGAAGTTTTAAACATTATTTGGGTCATAACACTTTTAAGAATTTAATAAAAACTGTGAGAACTCTTTTCAGGAAAATGCATATGCAAACACACGGCATGATGGAGTTTCCTGACCCACTTGAATTTTATCCAGACATTCCTTGAGAGTCTATGGAATCCCAGCTAAAAATCTCTAATTAGGGTGAGGAATCCTCTGGCTTCTCCTTTAATTTCTAGATCTTAAGTAAGATTATTAATGTTGCAAACAGTGTGAAAAGGGTTTTTTTTGTTTGTTTGTTTTGGGGTTTTGTTTTTATTTTTGTTTTTGTTTTTAAATATACTATTAAAAGAATGGTAGCTCCTTATGTGGCTGATGCAGGAGATAATACAGAATATTTTAGGTAAGTATATATGTGAAGTAATCCAAAAAACATTCTCATGCTTTTCAACGGAGCAAAGATAGTATAGTGATTGATCCTGCAGACAACAGAGGCAGAAACAAAATCAAGGCAGCTTTTTAGGCAAACGCTTATTTTAAAATGTCACAGAGAAATCTGTCTATTGTCGAAGTAATATCAGGGCCCCTCTGGCAAACAAGTTCTGTACCACACAAGCAGGTGTTAGCAACACTAAAAAAGAGAGAGAGAGAGAAGTAGTTTGCTATTTGCAAACATTGCAACTACTATAAAAATTATCCATCAAACTGTGATCCTTCTAAAATACCAAGCTGATGGCAGAAAATCCATGAATAACATAGCTGCTGAGACCCTAAGGGGTAGCATTATTGGTTAAGAAGTGATCCAGCTTCCAGGTAAAAAGAAATTGTTTCTTAGACCTCTCAGGCTAGTCAGGTCAAGGAGAAAAATTCAAACACAAAATCAATAATTAAAGTACATACACACACATAAGTAGCTAATGGCTTTCACCAGGGTATTATGCAAATCACTTACTTTCATCTAACTTTTTAAAGGATATCTATCTTTCAAATACTTACACTCTCAAATACTGATTCACGTCCATATGAAGTTGTTCTTATTTTAATTGTTGTAGTTGAAATACAGTATTTGTTGAACCAGCACCTGCCCTCTACAAAAGACAGGATGCTCCCGGACTTCTGTGCACCTGCACAGTATCCCTCATTCTATTCCTCATCCCTAGCAATTTACAACTTTTCATTGTAAAAAAGAAGAAACGAGCATGAGAGACTGAGTTGCAGTATGCATTGAGGTTTATTTTAAAATCAGCATTTTCTTACTATTATATGAGGATCTTTTCTATTTTATGATTGTTTATAAATTACATGATTTTTGTTTTCTCTCTTAATATCCATGGGGAATAGTTTCACAGATGGAAAGTCATGCATTAGCTGGGGAGATGTGCCTTATATGACAGTTCTCCTTTATCAAGTGAACCGACATTTATACTCTTAAAATAAAAAGAGAAGAAAAAATAGAAACTATATGAATAGGACCAGGAAGCTAACACTATTGTATCCAATGACTGAGTAAGAAAATTCAAGGGAATATTTCTCCATTTGAAACCTCTAGACAGCCATTCTCTAGCCATATGATTTATAAAGAAAAGATTAAGTAGATATTAGTAAAATTTAGTCAATGATGTATTATGTTTAAAATTATGCACACTTTCCAACCTATTTCAATATTACTATATAAATTGGGAAGATGGATGGATGGATGAAGAGATAGATAAACAGATAGAGATAGATTCATTCAAGTTATTTGCTTGAACTAACTAGATTTAACCACTTCTTGGCATTCGGTTCGTAGAGTTCATGAAAGAATTCAAGAACTTTGCATGAAAGTTTTGGCTAACATTTGAGATTAAAATTTTCAATAAACAAAACTTAAATCTCTTCTGAGGAATTGGTCTTCCACCCAATATGATCTTTAACATATGGCAAAAGATGTAATTTCAGCTAAGTATTTTAGGGCAGTATTTGCAAATTTAAAATTAACATTTTTATGCAGAAGACATCTCAATATTGTATCTTTATAACTGATGTCAGGAGGAAAGTTCTGGAAGATAGATGCCCAGGGTAAAAAAGGAGGAGAAGGAAACAGATGGTTCTGCTAACAGGGTGGATGTAGGAGGAAGAGGGAGAGCTTAAAAGGAGAATGTGGAAAGTAGAAGGAGTACGGGGAAAAGCTTCCTTTCAATTAACAAAGTTCAAGTCACTGCATTAGGTAAAACAAAAAAAAAAGAAAAATTGTACTTATGCTTTCATATTACGGCATCTTCTCCCCTGTTTTCTTTGATTTTTTTTTTTTTTTTTTTAGAATTCAATAGTTATGTTATTTTACCTTAGAGGCTTCTTGTAGTCTTTTAATCAATTTTATTAAATAGAGGGAAAAAAGGTGTGTAAGAAAACGAACACCAGATCTATGCAATGTTTTAGCATAATTCCTTTTGGGGAATGGATTTTTGAATATTGGAGACATAATATAAAATTCTGAAGAAAAACAGAAAGAATAGAATATATAATACTATTGGACTCAGCATAAATTTAAGAAGTCAGGAAAAAATGAGATGTGTTTTTATATTGAATATGAAGAATAAAGTACCAAAAGGTAACCAAATTGCCTAGGATAGAAATAATCATTAAAAGATGGCAGTATTTTAGGAGCCTTTAAATTTTAAATGATCATCCAGCCACAATAAGTGTCACATCTCATTAAAAAGCTTTCAATTCTAAGCCTTTCCTCCACTGAGTTTCAGAAAGATATAATTCCTGAGGTGCACAATGCTATTTTGCTTCTTGCTATGAGTTTGAATACTAGTTAAAAGATCTTTTGTTAAACAAAGGAAAGCAGCTGGTTTCCTCAGAAAGAGATTTCCTATCCCCAGTAGGTCCTATGTCCAATTACAAGTTTGCAGACAAAAATTATCCATTTCCATTTTTCCAGGTCATTCTTAAATGAGAAGAGAAACAAAATGGATAAATATAAGAACAGACATAAATCGTACTATTTATGTATTTTTTTAGTATTCTCCAACATATTCAAACTACTGACATATGCTCAAAATATAGTAAATATCAACAGCAGTCTAACCGTAAACAGTCGGGAGAGCAGGGAGAGGAACAGAAAGGGTAACCTATAGAATACCAAGGCGTGTGCGGAAGGAGGCAGCTGGAGCTCCTTGGGAATCAGCCATGGGCTTGGGCTGCCCTCCCAGGAATAATCACAGACAACCTGTGCTATCGCAGCACCCCTGCCTGTTCTGCTTCTTTCACCACCTCCCTCTGCCCTACCGCACAACAGCAGAGCCCTGGGGACCACCCTAGTTGGCCATAACATGGGAAAGCTCTGTCTCTCTACCTGAAGGTAAAAACGTGAGAGAAGATGCACCCACCAATGGACACTTCATTCCTCCCTGCTCTTCCCACCACGATCTCTGCAGTCCTGCCCAGTCATCGCAAATGCTCACCTACGCTTTCTAATTGTGAAGGGATTTTGGATTACAAAACAAATATAGTGGAGGTAAATAATAAATATTACCTTTTATTTGATGCAGATTAGCATAGCTTTATGACATTAAACCGTCAGATCTGCCATCTCTTTTCCCTTATGGATTCTTCTAGACTGTGAATTTGCTGCCTGGTCCATCTCTTTACTTTTCTGCGATTTATCAAATAATGACAAGTATGCTGGGCTTGCCTATGACATAGTGAGCCTAGAATATAAAACGTAGTTAATAAGTACTAATTTTTAAAAATCTCTCAGAGAGAGGCAGGAGAAACTATGTGATGGATTCGTTTAGTTCTTTTATTTCATATATTTATATTTTTAATTATGTGGAGTCAATGCTTGCCTTTTCTGGCCATAACAAATAATTGAGTTTTATTTACTTTCTCTTCTGAGAAATATTTTCTAGACCATAATCAGTAGGCTTTAAAATCAAATCCCATTTTTCAAAGCTGTGTGCATGTGTGTGTACATGTGCGTGTTTTAGCTTTCCATGGTGCCTACAGCATGATCATTGCAAAGGGAAAAAAGATGTTTATAAAATATGGCCAGGCACTCAACGTGAACTGTAGCAGATACAGAAATTGGCTCGTGTGCACAGCATTATATAAAAAGGAGTTGACCTTCCAGTCCCACTGATATATCTCTGTAGTAAGAATGTCCTCGAGCCTTTTTTGCTCATCTTCTAAGTTCCTTTAACTTTGACTGTTTCTTCACTAACATAATCATTAGATTATGATTTAGCTTCCCAGATGGACTACAGAAAGATATCCCATTTCATATGGACACAGCATCCAGTTCTTGGGTTATTACTATTTTTTTTTTTTTACTATAAATGAATACTGTCATTCTGATGCCACAATCTTGTGGGAAGTTTAGTTACAGTGAATTAGCTAACTGTTGATCACCCACAAGTACCAAGAAGAATGAGTAATGGGGCCTTCCAAGCAGAGGACCAGAGCCCCAAATGGGGTCACCAAATGTGGTGCTAGTCAGTATCGCCTTTGCACTTGCACCAGCCTTCCCTCCACCAATTCCTCTCCAGCTTTCATATGTGCAGTGACGCACAAATGTTCTCCCACAAGAACAAAGTTAATCAGAGTGATAATTTCCTAGTCCACCCCTCAAGATATAGTGTATCTCCCAGTTCTCTTAAACCCCTTGAGTGTGGACTCAATACCTGAGTTTCTCTGAGCCCTGTTTCTAAGGACCACACCAGAGGCCTGAAGTGAGCAGGGAGTAGTTGGAGCTCTACAGACACAGTCAGGTAACTTCTTTCTATGATCGAAAGACCCCTTCCCCAGGAATGAACCCTTAGACAAACTCTGTATCAGTAAAGAAGAGAAAATGTATTCATTCAACTAATATGTAATAAGAGCCTGCTTTATGCCACTGAGACGCAAAGTAGAACAGCTCCTGCCTTATCAAGTGTATATTCTAATGTCAGAAGGATGGATGAAGAGTCAAAAATAAATTAATAAATAAATCTTTCATGTTCATAAGTACTCTGAAGGTAATCAAATGGAAAAATGTTACAGAGAATGATTAAGGGAGAGAATAAGACTCCTGTGGATACAATGGCTAAAAAATAGCTTCTAGGATGAAGAAGTTTAAGTGGCAACCTGAGTAATGGTGATCTGGATACTGCACATGCAACAGAAAGCCAGATGGCCAACGTGACCGGAGAACGGTGAACTTGGGGGAATGTGGTGTGAAATATAGGCAGGAACTAATTGATGTCGGTCCTTGGAGACAACAGTAAGGAGTTCAGATTTATTTTAGCTTCAAGTCTATTAAAGGGTTTCAGCAAAGTAGCAATGGTCTAATAACCATTTTTAAAACCACAACTCTGGCTGCTACGTTGGCACAAATGGTAGAGTGGTAGATGGAAAAGAGAGTTTGGGTAAGAAGCTACATCCATGGCTCTGGCAAGAAATGATAGTGGCTTGGTTTATTGTGGTAAGATGGAAGTTGAATAAAGAGACCCAAGTGGGAAATAATTTGCCTTGCTCAGAGACAACAAGACTAGCTGAAAGATGGTATGTGGATATTGGGGCTTGGGGACTTGCTCTTTCAGTTTTGGTATGAGCAACAGGGTGGTTTGTGATTGCATTTAATTATAGATGGCACGCTGTGGGAGGAACAGATTTAGGGGGATCGAGGAAGCTAGGAAACTAAGTGCTCCATTTTGGCTAATTTAAGTTTTAATTGGCTCTTAGGCATCCAGGGGTAGAAATAATCAGACTAAACCACTGAAGATATGAGTCTTACTTTCAGGAGAGACATCAGGGCTCTCACTGTACGTTAGGTATTGGCTGCATATAGATAGTTTTAAGCTATGGGACTGGTTGAAATCACATTGGAAGAGGGATTATGTAGAGAAGACAAGAGGACTCAAGACTGAGCTGTGAATTTGAAATCGGAGCAGGGGAAAGGAGCCAGAAAAGATGAAGGAGATCAGCAACCAATGAGGTAGAAGGACGACTAAGGGAAATTTCTAATACTAAAGCCAAGAACAAAAAGTGTTTCAAGGAGAGAACAGTCAACTAATCAGATATAAATGGGAGACTGAGTCAGATTATCATGGAGAAATGACCATTGGATTTCACAAGCGAAGGTTAATGGGGACCTTGAAACATTTTTTAGGTGACTATACTGATGAAAGGAATATGATGTACTGCTTTTTCTACTTAAATTTCATAACCAATCCAATGTTGAAAAAAATTAAGTGGAAAAGTGTGTTATCTAGACTATAAATTTCAGTATAGAAATATTGACTGTTAAATAAATGTAAAGAACTGTGCACTATTACATAAAGGACAAATTGAAGAGCTATCATTACATCATCTGGCTTAAAATATTTTCCAAAGTTATTTCTAAATGTTAGAATCATGTTTCACAAGGTCGAAAGATAACTTTTATATTTAGGTGCTCCTTTTATGTTCAGATGTTTCTGGCTTACAAAAGTCTGAAACCATGTATATTGTAGTCATGAAGCAGAAATAGATATATCCGTAGATTTATTTAACTTCAAGCAAAAAAAAAAATACTTGCAACAGGTAGAAAAGTCTCTCTGTAACTTACAACAATGTATTTTTTTCTCTAACCCAGGTATGGTGACATGGTACCCAAAACCATAGCAGGAAAGATTTTTGGGTCCATCTGTTCGCTGAGTGGGGTCTTGGTCATTGCTCTACCTGTTCCAGTGATTGTATCCAACTTCAGTCGAATCTACCACCAAAACCAACGAGCAGACAAACGAAGGGCACAAAAGGTATGTATTCAGCTTTGTGCAACCATGATTTAGTGCCCCCAACTTTTAATAGTGAGCTTTAAAATCCCTTACTGGCTATTCAGTGTTCTGGATTTGTTCAGTAGTCGCATTAGTCAAGACCAGATAGATTATTCTACACTATAAAGGAACTCAACCTGTCAGTGGCTTGAAACAACAAGGAATATTTTTCAATCATGCCACAGGTCCATTACTGATCCAGATATGGAAGCTTCATCTTGACAATGTACTTGTGCAATTATTTAAGCAGGGGTAAAGGACATGAAGCATCACACGCTGCTTCCTGGAAGTGGCCTGAGTCATTTCCATCTCTATTGCATTAGCAAAGAAAGTCATATAGCCATATCTAACTTCAAAATGGGCAGGGGAATGCAATCCTACTACAAGCCAGAGACAGAAAGTAAGAAATATTTGATGAACGGCACTAAGGACAGCAATAAAATGAAAAGACAAATTCTTGGCAAATTTTATTAAAATCATATTTCTAAATCTGATTCATTTAGTTTCTGTTCTTCAGTAGTCAAGCTGATTCCAGTAGATGAAAATTATTAAAGGACAACAAAATGTGTCTCAGATATTTTAAATAGTTGACACAGGAATTAGGAGAAATGTAATCATTCCTAGCTAAGTTTTATTGCTGGCCCAGCAGTTTGCTGTTTCTCTGAACTTCACACCAGTTAATTAATTATTCTAAGAATAAACATAGGGCATATTCATATGTAAAATGGTGGAAACAGTAAGATGAAGATTATATGCAAATGCATATATATCTATATAAACACATCACAATATAAACACAATTTAATGTTTACTGATGGTTTACTATATGCCAAGCATTGGTCTAATGTTTTTCAAAAAATAACTCATATAATCTTCACAACAACTCTGCAAGTTAGTTACCATTATTATCCCCATTTTATAGATGGGAATCCTAAAGTACCCAGAAATAGAGCAATTCTAAGGTCACATACTTAATAAGTTGGAGAGCCACCATTCAATGCGAGTCAGTCTGGCTCCCAGGTTCAAACACTAAACACTATGATACTGTATCTCCAAAAAACTCAAAAAAACTGATTGTTAGCACACTTCTCTTCCCCATTCTTTGTCAAAGTCACCTTGAAAGACAGGGCCCTTGCTGCTTAGAAATAATCTTGGACTTCTCGTTTGTAGTTTCCTCAGGGCTTACGATGCTGTGTTTCCAGTATTCTTCATGATCATTATGTCTGCCCTTTAAGGATAAATTTATTATTTTTTTAAATATCCAAAATCGATTTATAACCATGACTAAAGTGGATGCACAATCTGGGTAATGTGGTATAACTATAAAGTCTCATGACAGATTTTGGTGCAGTTTGTTACTGGCTTTGTAGGTAATGCCAGAACAGGAGTTTAAATATGCTTTTGAACAATGTCAACCTCTTTCGTGAAGTATAAAGTCACATAAAGTATCTCCTTAGAGAGTTAAGTTAATCTGTACGGTCACACAGTATATTGTCCTAAGAACTTGTTCATATCCACTGTTGGAGATCCTCTTCCTTTAGCAAAGAAACATTCTTTTATCTTCCTAGTTGCTTGCTTTATGAAAGCCCCTATTTTTGGACAAATACCTACCCTTTAACTAATTATTACAGAGAAGAGTAATAGATCATGCATTAACACGAATATAGAGAACAGATAATCCAGTGAATAGGGGGGATTAGGAAAAGGCACCCTTGGGCCGCCCTAGTCTCATGCAAGGCACACCTTTGGCAAACAGAGATGGAGAGATTTCAGCCACAACTGGCCCCTCCACCAGGGACCTTCAAGCACCACACCGTGGCTCTGCCCACACACTACGATCCCTCTACTGGGCATACCTGCACATTGTCTAAAATAACAGAAATCCTACAAAAACTTAACTCCTTACCACCCATCCATCTCCATTCTGGAAATCCCTTCTTTAATATAAGAGCTACTTACATGAAAACTGCAGAAAGCACAAATTTAATTTTTCAAAAAAACCAATCTCCAAAATATCTATATGTTTTCAAAGTTTATCACCTGCACTAAGCAACTCAATAAAGAAAATCTTAAAGTATTTTAGAAGCTGTGTTAGTCTGTTTTCTGTTTTCATTAAACCATTAACCATTAATCCACTCATGAGACCATGGTTCTCACAATTCAATCACGTCTTAAAGGACCCACCTTTCATGTACCACACTGGAAAGTAAGTTCCAACATGAGCTTGGGGGAATATTCAGACCACAGCAGAAGTGTTTTGGCCTAGATAAATTTAGAAAGCAAAAATAAATAAATGTGATGTTATAAAAGTATACTAATTGAAAAGTATGTTTTACGAATGTTTTTGATATCTTCAAAATATCTGCAATATTCTAAGTTCTGCCATAACAAAATGAATTATGCATATTACTAAAAGAATTGACTGAATAAAGCCCAATAAAATAAAATAATATAATATGTCCAGTAAAATATTCTGTGACCAGTAAACTGAACATAAGCATCTAAGAAAGAACAGTAGATATGGAACTAAGTAATTTACCAAGAAATATTTTCTACTTTTATTCCCAGGAGATTTTTTTTTAAAGCAGAACATATACCCATTAAGCTAAGATAGTTTAGATTTTCAGAGACTGCATGATTTGCCAAATGTTGAAGTTATGCAAAAATAACCAGCTAATTCATTCAAGTAAGCAGTCCATTCAGTAAAAACATCAGTCAAGCTGACTGATAAAAGTAATATTACAAAATGGTTTTTTAGACCAGACTTTTTTGGTGTTTAGTCCAATTCTCAACTCCAAGCTCAAGCAAAAGCATGTAACATCCATACATGAGATACATTGGAGGAAATTCCCAACATCATTGTCAGGGATGGGTTCCTTCTTCTAGGCTCTCCCCGCAGCAGGTACTTTTTCTGCTTTTGCTATCCACACCTGCTCTTTAAAGGAAATATATCCTTTACCTCACTTCTATCAATCCTTGGTGAAGTCTTAACTAAACACTCACATGAGGGTGAATATAAGCCTAAACTGTGACACCTCTCCCCCATTCTCACCACTGTGGTTGTATTTTAATAGATTTATTTATTCATTTGTTTGTTTGTTTGTTTATTGGTATCTGGCCAGTATGAGGATCGAACCTTGCACCGTAGTGTCATCAGCACCACGCTCTAACCAACTGAGCTAACCAGCCATCCCCTTAATAGATTTATTTATTCTCTCAGTTATTCAATAAATATTTATTGAGTAGAACGTAGTTGCCAAAATAAACCTAAATTGATGCAATGACAGGTGGCAAGGTTGATATTTTGAAGCAGGAGCCAACTCTGTTTTAAAATGTGAATCTCACCACCTAATCATCTGCACACTCACAAGGCTAACCTGTGAGTAATTATCATATAATACTAGTAATTATAGTTATAATTTAATAATACTAATAGCAACAACAACAATCCTCTCCAGAGTTTCTAGAATGTCTCAGGTGCTTTGTATCTGTTATTTATAACATTCACAATCAACTTGCAAGGAGGTGTATTATTTCCATAATATAGATGACCTGCACATGCTCACACAGCTATTGATTAAAGCTCAAGAGGAGAAAGTTCTGGCATTATTTGAACTATGAATCTTTTAGGATTTTCCTGTAGGTAATTCTAAACACAGTGAGAAGTTTAGAATTAATAAACCAATGTACAGTGTAAGCAATTTTTTTTACTTTTCACATGAAGATTTTGATATTGACACAGAAAGATGTTACCAATATTCAGTCTATGGTTTATCACACCGTCCTAGGGTGGTTCTCAAACTTTAGATTTGTTAGAATCATCTGGAAAGCTTGTTTAAAAAAATAGCTTGTTGAGCCCCACCTCCAAAGCATCTGATTCTGTGGTTTGGGTTAAAGCCTGAAAATTTGCGTCTCTAACAAGTTCCCAGGTGATGCTGATAATGCTGGTCCGGGGACATTTTGAGAACCACTGCATAATACATTCAGCAATGTCCAAATCAAAGGAATGTTTACAGCATCTTAGAATAATGCAAAGCCAAGAAGTAACTTCTTGCTAGCACCTGAGAATGATCTCTTAGATTATCCACTAATAAGAACAAAATTACCCAGTTTCCAAGTCCTCCCAAGCATGATTTTGTCTGATTCCCGCCTACATCCTCTTTCAGTTCTCACTTCTTCCCTCTTAGAGTCCTCTTATTGTCTTCCTATTGCTCAGCCCCTTCCACTGACCCAAATCCCAGCACTGTTTCTGCCCAACCCTGCCTTCTCCAAGAATAACCAAGCTCTAGGGCTGGAAATATTCCACTCTCTGCCACCAACTTCCTTCCCCCCTCTCTCTCTATTATTGTTTGACATTAACTTGTCTTATTTTTAGGGCATCTATTTTCTTTAGCAAATGGAAAAATTCCAAATAACTTCAGAAAATTTTAAAGTTGATAGAGCTTAATATGCCATCTCCACCTGAGGCATTTTATTAAGCCTTACTTGTAAGAAATAACTGTAAGTAGAATTTTCAGAATACATGGTACAGGGAGTATGTGGGCCTGTATTTGAGGAATAAGGAATTGCCTCAGATTACCAAGGAGAGAAATCTTCTCTACCTCACTTTTAAGGCTTCCTAGGATACCTTTATTTTTCAAAACTATTGAAAACATTTTGTAATTTGGCAACAAGATGGTTCCATAACTTTCCTCGATCTACCTCATCCCTCATTTAGAAGATGGCTGGCCACTTAAGAAAAATCACTTTCTCACTGATGTTTGGCTTATAGATCTTTCTCTGACTGGCTCCCAAACTCAGTTCCAGAAAATACGTTGTTAAGTTTACTTAATATCATTTTCTATAATTAAAAAACAGTCTACTTGCTAAAAACCATTGTGTTCCGCGGCACACTAGCTTCTGAGTGCTCCACAATAAAAGAGTTCCATATCAAATTCGTTTAAGGAAAATTGCACACTATGTCCCCCTGTTGTCCTCACCATGAGCATCCACAATATGATGTGTTGTGAGGAACCCAACAGCAAAAAATCCTGTTCAACATCTCAGCATTGCCCAATCTTTTTTTGACCACAGAACCTGTTGTTGGCTTCTCTGCTTGGTTTGGATTTTACCTAGTACACTTATGAATGCCTTGGAACCCACTTTGGGATTTGGCAAAAACTGAAGTTATGAGAATTTGGATGCATAGGAAAAATTTGCTTATGAGAAATTTTTTCTCAAGCATCATCAGTATTTAAGGCAGATAAATAATTTGAAAATGGCTGCAAAGCTTTATGTATACTGACAATATAAATCTTCTTTTTCATTAAAATTTTGGAAGCCTCCTACTTTCCACATAGGCAAAGGTATTTACTGAAACCTTACTCTAATTTCCATAGTATTCGCTCATACTTCCCCATGCCAAGAAGTCCCTGCAGAGGTGCGGGTGGGCACTGGAAGGGATACATTCTCTCTTACCAGCGGATGGTTTTCTTTTGACCTCCCAATTGCACAGCCAAAGTTGCCAAGATTGTCATACTGAGCAGGTCAGAAGTAAAGTGATTTTCTAACATATCTTTGTAATATAATTTCCCTCAATTACCTGCTGGAACCAGAAATGTAATCACAGGTCATAAAGGCTAGCATTCAGCAGACATTTGGTGTGGTGTTCCACAAGACCAATTAAACCAATTAACTCATATAGTATTGTAGTAAAGTGAAAGAAAAGTCATGATTGAAATTGAGATGGGAGGATCTTTTCCTAACACAGTACATGACTTAGCAAAAATAGCTGTTCTGTCTCTAAAACAACTGCTTTTTCTGAAGCTAAGAAGTAGTTCCACAGTAGTGATTGCCACTGTATGTAGGTTTTCTACTATGAGAAATAGGTTTCATTTGCCTTTGCTGGACAGTATTTTTTGTTCATGTTTATGTCTCATTAATGAAAAAAGTAGTATTTCTCAATGCTGCTGCTAAATACTTGGAGAATAACATAGATGAGACTAGTAAATATGACATAGGCAATATTAATGCATATAGTAGTTGCAAAAGAAAGAAAGAAGAACAAAGAAAGCAAAAAGAAAGGGAGAAAGCAAAAAGAAAGGGAGAAAGGAAAAAAGCGAGAGAGAAATGAGGTGGGGGAGGGAGGAGGAGGTAGAAAGAGTAGATGAGAACCAAAAAAAAAAAAAACAATTAATGTTCTAGGAGACCAAAGAGACTTTAGGACTGAAATTTCAACAATAAGCCCTTTTTAGAAACCAATGTAAGGTTTATTTCTGAATTATTAGGTCAATTCTAAGTCATTTCCAAATGTGCTTATCACTTGCCATGGTTTTATTGAGTCTAGCCTGAAATTCTAGCTCTGCCACACAGCTTCTGAAGTAAAAAGTTCTCTACCTTCAACTTCATTCTCTAACATTGTCTCAGTACTTTAAGTGATCTAAATATTATATTACCAACAAAAGATGAAATTTATCTATTTATCCCACCTATATTAATCCGTTTTTGTATTGCTATAACGGAATTCCTCAGATTGGGTAATTTATAAAGAACAGAAGTTTATTTGCTTACGATTCTGGGACAGCTGCATCTGGTACAGGCCTCAGGCTGCTTCTACTCAAGAAGGAAAGTGGCAGGCAGCCGGCGGATACAAGCAGATCACATGGTGAGAAGAAGCAAGAGAAAGAGAGGCAGGTGGGGAGGTTCCAGGATCTTTTTAACAACCAGCTCTTGTGGGAACTATTAGAGAGAGAACTCACTAGCTACCCCCCAACCCAGGGAGAGCATTAATCCATTCATGAGGGATCTGCCCCTGTGACTCAAACAGCTCCCAACACTGCCACATTGGGGATCAGATTTCGGCATGAGTTTTGGAGGGGACAAAACAGCCAATCTCTATCACCATCACTTATAAATATGATCTTTATACAAGGTATTTTAACCTAGAATCAGCATACAGTAAGAAAAAATTTAGGGAAAAAGAGAGAAGGGGTGGAAAAGCCAGATGATGTCTTAATGCTCTTTTGAGTTTCAAATATCTCAAATGGTGCTGGTGAAAGGGCATCTTGGTACAACTTTGGAGGGAAACTTGAAAAAAAGCATCAAACAAAACACATGTGTGTGCACACACACACACATACCCTTTGATCCAGGAATAATTCTGCTTCCAGAAATTTGTCTTGCAGATGAGCTCAACAGGATGTTCAAGGCAGGCAGAATTGCTTGGTAGTAGCAAAAGATGCTGAAAAAATTAGTTGGTAGTTGTCCTGCTAAATCGTAAATGATGCTTCATTCATACAGTGGAATATTATACATGCATAAAAATGAGGCAAATCTATCCATGTATATATGGAAGGAGTTTCAAGATGTAGTTAATGAAGACAACTAAGTGCAGGAGAGTAAAAATATTCTGAGTAAAAATATATGTGTATATACGTATGAATAGATATGCTTGCTTTTTTATACTTAGGAAATTTTGGATAGGATTCCCTAGAAATAATACCACTGGTTGAATCTGAAGTATAGGAGGGGGACGGCTCCAGGGTCAGAGAGTCTTACTTGCTTGCATGCACTTTTAAAGTATTATAATTTTTGTTTCTTATATATATATATATATATATATACACATTTTCAATTTTAAAAAATCAAGATAATTTTAAAATTTGTATTAAAAGGAACACTCCATGGCTTGAGACTAAAGACAGTATCTATCTGGGTTGTTTAGAAAGGGAAAAGAAGTCTTTGTAAGGTAAGTTTACAAGAAACTTATCTGAGCCATCCCAGTGGGTTTTTTTTTTTTTTACTTATACTTGCCAGATACACACAATTCAAATAGAATGGTCACCAAAATAGTGCTCTTTGGGATGTGAATACCAGACTCATTCCAGAACAGTCTAAAGACAGATATACAATGGCAATTATAAACTAGAATGGAATTCCAGAAATCCGACTAAACAGCCAGTTTGCTCAGTGACAATTCCACTTTGATGATCTCATTGTAACTGCACATTAAGTGACCACCCTAAACCCTCTAAATTGAAGGACATTCTCCATATGAAAAACTGCTTTAAAAATTATAAATATTATAAATCTCTCTTGATAGGCTGACGATGTTCTTCATTTCAACAAATTCAAGAGAGAAATAGACATCTGATGAGCTTACAGTTGTGTGAACCTATGCCAGCAGACAAAGAAAATATATTCAGGGATTTTTTTTTTTTTTTTTTGGAAGTCGTGTTGTTTAGTAGTATGGGGTCTACACTGGTTAATTTAACAGGATAAATGGCAAAAATAAAATTTTATGTTGGAGGATGCAGACACAGCTGAATAGTGGTTCTTTAAAGAAAGAAAGGCAATTGATTCCTGAAACTTAGTTAACTAAATTTTAAAAGAACATTAGTTTAAATGAAAAGGAGTTGGCAGCTGGTTTGCTGGGCTAGTGGTCTTCCTTTCATTGTTTCTCAGTTTTGGGATAAGTGAAAATGTAAGTAAAGTAATACTGATATTTTTCTGTTGACACAGTTGAGAGAAACAATAGTGAAATAACTTGATCTTACTGTAAAGACTTAGTTACAATTCTTAAATGCATCACCCATTCCAGTGTAGTTAGTTGATGTCATTGATAAATGTTAACTAAAATAAAGAACTCAAAAAGGGATGAGGGTAATTTTCAATAGTCACATGTGAAAAACCAGCTTACTTTTAAAAATATGTATGCTGACATTAGTATTATACAGGAGTTCATTCACTGTGTCAAGAAAACAATTCATAAGTATTAATGGGACATTCATTTTTCTCCTGTAGAAAGCTAGACTGGCCAGGATCCGGGCAGCCAAAAGTGGAAGTGCAAACGCTTACATGCAAAGCAAACGGAATGGTTTACTCAGTAATCAACTGCAGGTATGTAAAGCTAGGTGACCAAGCCAGTTGTGGGGCTCTTTTTTCCAGCTGGTAATCCTGCCCCAACTGGCCCGATTGTCGAGCTAGGGCTGGGTCTGGAGCCCTCAGACCCCTCAAGCCTGTTCACAAACCCTTCACACTCCAGGCTGGGTCACCAGACCCCTTACACAGCAGTCTATGAGCTAGGTAACCAGCAAACAGGTCCTTGGAAGCCCTAGGTTGGAAAGCAGGCCACAGTGTGGTGGCCTCCGGGGCAGTAAAACTCCCGCCAAATCACGGCGCCGCGCAGGCGCACTAACTCCACCCACATGCAACCTGTTCACAGCAAATGCTCGGCAAGATCCTGAACATCTGAGGGGCCCTCACCATTTTCCTCTTTTTTCCCAACAAGGTACAATCAAGCTCTTCACTTTTTTAATGTTCAATTTTTTTGGTGGAATATTGATTCAGGTCTACTTACCCATATAATTTTATTGTGGGTAATTATGAAAATGGCTATCAAAACAACAAAAGTGTCATTTTTTTATGATGTCCTATTTAGTTCGGTTGGCAGTAGCAGGTTAGAAACTGCTAAGAAATACTGCCAGTGAATTATGATTCCAATTCATGATCAGGCAATATTTCTGCACTGTCTCATATTAACATAGGAGAGGTAAAAAATGCTCAATAATTCAAGTGCCTAATTCTTTTTTTTTTTTCTTCAAAATTATTTATGTTCCTTAAAGTTCATTTGGGTGGCAGGCTGGGATTGGGAGTGACATAATGTCTTGTTTTAGTTCTTAATGAAGAGGGGACACCATGCAATGTTATGAAGTTCACAGGATATGAAATACAATTTGTGCAACTTTTCTTCTTCCTCAAAGCTTTCCTTTAATATTTAAGATTTCAATCATCTTTACTTACAAAATAGCTTTTAGATAGGTGAGCATGATAAAGGTTTGAGGATTTTCTAAGTACTAAGTTAAATTTTATCATCCAAAGATAATGGCTCCCAGGCTTACAAAGGTAATTAGGAGTTGAATAAATAAAAGAGATTTAAATCTTCAATTCAGAGAGGACTGTCTAAAAGACCAGACCGCTGGTTTGATGAAAATGTAAGTACTGATCATCCAACTTAAAAGCAACTGCACCTTTGTCCCTTTTTGGTTAAAAAAAAAAAAAAGTCTGCCATTTAATCTCAGAAAATAGGCCAGATCTCTCTGTGAAAATGTGTAGCCGAGATTCTTGTTGTTTGCAAATAAAATAGAAAGCTCTTCTGTTTTCTCTTTGTTAACAGTCCTCAGAGGATGAGCAGGCCTTTGTTAGCAAATCCGGCTCCAGCTTTGAAACCCAGCACCACCACCTGCTTCACTGCCTGGAAAAAACCACGGTAAGGAGACAGCGTGACCGCCTTCCTTTACACTCCGACAAGAATTTCATTTGCTTTTGTGCATATTTAATGCTTCCTAGCGGGATTTCATTGACTGCTTTACTGGAAAACATGCTAAAAGAACACACAAACAAAACCCCACAATATTTGAAATTACTTTGAAAGACTAGAGTGACATTTCTACTTGGAAAGTATTTTAGAGACTTATTTAGGATGTTTTGTCCTTAGTGGTTACCTTAACTCTAGTCTAAGGTATCAGTTAAATGCAAATGAAAGTTGTCTTCCAATAGCAAGCCCTATAAAAAATATCATTTTCCCCTGATTCTTAAAATGCTGATTAAACAGAAAAAAATAACAGATGTGTTCCTGACATCTGTCTGGATAAAGAGAATATCAATATCAATAACAAAAAAGTAGATAATAACAGAATATAAGCATTTTTTTTCATTCACAGGTATAATGAATAGAAATAGGTGATTAAAAAGTACCTGTTCTCATAAGAAAAATGACACATTTAGTCACTGGTCTGCCCCTGGGGGCTCCGGAGTGAAACTGTTCAGCTCCATTTCCAAGCTGTCCATCGGATCTCCTTGATAGCAAAGGCACCCATGTGTTCCTTAACTAGCTAGACAGTAGAGATCACAGTCTGTGACCGCAGAGCAGAACAAAACTTTCAGTATATTTGAATCGGGTCAGCTCACTCACTCACTCACCAGAAACACATTATTTATATTTTCAGTTCCAACATATCACCCATCCATTTATTTATTTACCTAGATTGTCATTCAGCAAATACTCATTTCTTGCCTACTATGTGCTTCAGGATACACCATGAAATCAGGTGTGCCTCTGCCACCATTGAGCCTCCATTTATGAAACAAAACACAAAACATGGATGTTACTGGAGAAGGGTAGTGAGCAGAGGAAGAAACAGTGGGCCACCATGGAGGAGGAGGAGAGGGCAGCACCACGAGGGGACAGGCTCAGGCATGGCTTCCTGGGGAGTTTGAGTTAAATCCTACAGGATGCCTAGGTGTTAGGCAAAGAAAGGAAGGGGCTAACGAGCAATGTAAGAACCTCAAGAAGGTGAGAGCATGGCCTAAGAGCAAGTGAATGACCTTGAGGGTGGCCAGAAGGAGAGTCGCATGGCACAAGAAGAGGCAGACAGACAGGCAGTGGCCAGATAATGTTAGGCTTTGGAGGCATGTGAACAATTTTGATCTTTAGCTCGTGATGAATGAAAAAACATTTAAGGTTTTAAACAGGAAAGCCAGAGTAGTCACATGATTATATCTGCATTTTTAAACAAAAATATGGACAGGTCTATAGCCTATTAAGATATAATTCTTTGGAAGTTAAATAATGCATTAAGATAGAAGGTATTTATCCCTCTTTTCCTTTTCTTTTATTTTCCTTTTTTATTCTTATTTTGCCATTTAGTGTTTTTTATTGAATAAAAAATGACAACACTAGCTAATATAATTTAAATTGAGCTACTACCAATTTAAATTGGTTATATGGTAACCAATAACAGAATGACTTTACTTCCAATTACTGATGTGATAAATTAGAATCTCATGTGTTATAATTTGCATTAGGTGTGTGAAATATGCATTGTGGGAGAAGAAAGCTGTAGGGACCCCATGGGCGCCTGAACAGGGACACACCCTGGCAATATGGCGACCTTCCTGGTTCTTCTCCGCAGTAAACAAGCCCGCTGGCGCCAACACCCAAGCCCACCCGCGCCAAACCTCAGCCAGTCACAGGTCAAGGCTCACCTCCTGCCCAGCCCCGTCCAATCAGTTACTGCCCCGTCCACTCTCTCTCCCGCCCCGGAGCACAGCACCCTATAAATGTATGCGCAGTCCTTGAATAAAGCGGAACTTCTCTGGCGAACTGTTAGCCCGGGTCTCGCGTGATTCCTTCGTCCGTGTGTCCCTTCAAAAGCATTGTGAATATTTAATATTAACATGAAATTTTGTCTTATCTGATCATATTACTCTCTGGACTTTAAACAGTAAAATGTTGAATTCATTTATTTCAAAATGCTTGTCTCAGCAAAGAAATGACAAAATGAGTAACTAAAACAATATATTTCTTATTAGCCAGTGAGTTGCTTCAATAGTTAGACTAATATTTTAGGATGAGAGATGGTTAAGTGGAACTTGGTACATGCAAAAATAAAAAATGAAATCAACATGAATTTACTAATTCCTGTGTGTATTACCTATATGCATTTTTGAAGGATTTTTTTTCTTCAACTTATAACTTCCAGTTTTTTATGTTTAAGATAATAAATAATATTTCAGGATAAAGTTAGTCTATAAATAGACACTAAATCACTTCATAAGTCAATCTCTAGGTCTCACTGAAGATTATTTCCACATAAATGCAAAAAAACAAGTGGGTTTGACAGTCTAATCTTTATGAAAATGGTGTTAACTACCCATTGGATCCAGTCTGACTGTAACTGTGTATATTTGAATTTTAAAAATAAAGCTGTGTATTTCCTTGATAAAAACATTTTTTTTCAAATGTGTTTCTCTGCTTTCTTTACATTTTCTTACAAATTTGGAACAGAATCACGAGTTTGTGGATGAACAAGTCTTTGAAGAAAGCTGCATGGAAGTTGCAACCGTTAATCGTCCTTCAAGTCACAGTCCCTCTCTCTCTTCACAACAAGGAGTCACCAGCACTTGCTGTTCACGACGACACAAAAAAACTTTCCGCATCCCAAATACCAACGTATCAGGAAGCCATCGAGGCAGTGTGCAAGAACTCAGTACGATTCAGATCAGATGTGTGGAAAGATCACCGCTATCTAACAGGTACTTGAGATTAGTCTGTGTTGTGTGCACACATCTGTGCTGGTTCACAGGGCATATCTCCTGCAGTCATGCTGCTACCTCTTGGCATCTAAATCCCAGCTCCTACAGTTTAAAAACAAAATGATGTTGTAACTAGTAGGAAAATGGACCTACTGGTATATCCATTGAAGGTCAAAAGTAGCAGTTGTATCAGTATTCAAGAGTAGAAAGAAGAAAAGGTAGTCAGGCACACACAAATGTGTTTTTATGTGTTTCAACAACACAACATTTCCTTATTTGATCAAGGACCTCTATACTCAGGAGCCCATAATATAAATTCAAATAGCCTAAAATGATGGTCACTACTAACAGACAAATGAAATTGACATCAATGTGACTGAGAATTATTCAACAGCACCTAAAAATATATCAATATATTCAATGTAATAGTAAAAATTAAAGCTGTGGGGCCGGCCCGGTGGCGCACTGGAGAGTGCGCCGCTTGGGAGGGCGGCGGCGCTCCTGCCGAGGGTTCGGATCCCATGTGGAGACTGGTTCCTGCTCACTGGCTGAGCACGGTGCGGGCGCAACACCGAGGGTTGTGATCCCATTGCCGGTCAGTAAAAAAGACAAAAAGGAAAAAAAAAAATTAAAGCTGTGCTTACACAGGTCTCTTTTATCACTGCAAAATTTTGACCATAAAGACATTTTGGCCACATCAAACACAAAAATCAACCTGATACAAAAAAAGATGAGTGAAGTATTAACATTGTTTACCTCTGGTTAGTTTATGGACAATTTAAATGAAACCTTTATAGTGATATTTTCCCTTTGCTTTTCATTATTTACTATTTATTTTTACCACAAGCATATGTGTAATAAAAAGTAGTACATTTAAACTATATAAGTCATTTATGGGCCGGCCTGTGACTCACTCGGGAGAGTGCAGCGCTGGTAGCGCCGAGGCTGCGGATTTGGATCCTATATAGGGATGGCCGGTGCACTCACTGGCTGAGCGTGGTGCAGATCACACCATGCTGAGGGTTGTGATCCTCTTACTGGTCAAAAAAAAAAAAAAAAACTGTATAAGTTATTTAAAAAACCACTTTTTGCCAAAATAATTTTACTTTGCTTTTCAAATTGTAAAGCATACTTTTTAGAGTGACAGTCTTTAAATTCAGTCCTACTTCTTTGTTGGCATTCAGCGATCTCTGTTGAAAACCTAGATGAGATTCTGGATTCAGGCTATGTTGATTTACATAAATCAGATGTCTCCAGGACCAAAATATTAAAGTTTGGAAAGATGAAATATTTCTGTCTTTGAGATATTTTTACCTCTGCATTGTTTTACACTCATCATAAAATGAAGTAGAAAATGGAGAAGCGTTTAGAAAGAAAATCTCAGTACATAAACATTTTGTTTTCTATGAAAATAAAATATTTAGTTTAAAGCTCCTGTTTATATTCTTCTGGCTGCTTTCCCCCTTTTCCCTTCCCCACACAGAGTATAAAATTTGTGCAAGAATACCACTTGGGAGAACCTTGAAGTATTAGGTAGTAATAGCTAACTTTTTGGGGTTCTTAACATATGGCTGTCACTAAGTTGAGAGCTTTAAAGGCATTATGTTACCCAAAGAGACATGATTAAAAAAAGACTGTGGTCAAAGGAATAGAGAAATACACATGGCATGACCCTTTCATAATGGTTTCTCAAATCTCTCAGAAGTCCTGTCTTAAAGAAAACTATTTTATTTTGCTCATCTTAGGCTGTCCAAATCTTTACTTGATCTTCTTTCTCTTTTGCATTTTTGTGGAATACACTTTGTTTGAGAACACTTTATTGAACCAAATTGAGCTGACTTTTAGAAATTTCTTTAATGGTAATGTGCAAACCTTAGCATGTGCTAAGGTTTGGTCTTTCATTTTTAAATTATGGTGATTTTTCTTAGAAATTTTAAATGTTATTTACAAACATTAAAACATGCATTCCTCAGTTGTATGAAAAAAAAAATTTTAAATAACCTACTTTCTTAAATCTATTTTTTTCTCATCAGCCGATCCAGTTTAAATGCCAAAATGGAAGAGTGTGTTAAACTAAACTGTGAACAACCTTATGTGACTACAGCAATAATAAGCATCCCAACACCTCCAGTAACCACACCGGAAGGAGATGACAGGCCAGAATCTCCTGAGTACTCAGGAGGAAATATTGTCAGAGTGTCTGCTTTGTAAGACAATTGAAATGCGATCTAAGAGAATTTGAGCCCTGGCTGTGAGAAGAATCTCAATGTAGAAGAAAGAAGAAATAATAAACCTTTTGCAGATTAAGACAGCAAAGCAAGAAAGTTGTAGTGAAACAAAAACAAAGCTTCCAAACTTGAGGATGTGAATAAAACCACCAATTGGCATTTCTAGACAGAGTTTGACCTGTTATACAGAGGAATTATCTGTGGCCCTTGACTTTGTGAATGAGCACAATGAAATGCCACCTATTGATGCTTCTTATGCTCAGAACTCTTTTTTAATAAAATAAATAAATCTTTGAACATAATGTTCCAGTTGAATGCAAAACAAAAAAAATATGGAAAACATTTTGATAAAATTTTTCCTGTTAAAACCATGAACATTGGCTATGATGAAGATTATTACATATAAAAAAAAACCCTCACACAATACATTTGTATTGACTGAAGGAAACCATCATAATGCATGCTAGAATTCTTTGGAGCAGTGATCTCAGTTTCCTTATGTTGTCTTCAGAATAGGCATGATAAACTATAATTGTAGAAAGGGGGAATTTCTGTGCACTTACAACAAGCTGATTGTTCATGTTCCATGGTGGGCTGTGCAAATAAACTCCTTTTAGAATTGCAGTATTTCTCATGGGGATGCTCATTAGTAAATCAAACGTGTTCAGATAGTTCAGCATTAATTATCATTTTACCTTGCACCTAGATACTGTTACAACTGCAATAATTCATTGTACAACTGTTGTATCAGGAATCAGGATTTTTTGTTGTACTTTCCAGATCTTTATAGATACAGTAAGAGCCACATTCATAGAAAAACTTCTGGTGTGGCCAGATTTTAGGTAACTTTTTAATCCAAAACTATTGTGCCATAAATGTTTTTCAGTAATATTCTTCCATTCACTGTATTTCTGTGACACAGTACATTATCTGTTCCTGTATTTCTATAGCACCTTTCTATTCGGTTTATCGTTGTCAACTGGACTAAAGTTTACTGTAATTCAAATGACTTTCCTGCTTTTGTATTCCCCAACAAATTATCTTGTAAGCAGATTATCATCAATCCCCTTGTCAAAAACTAGAAAAAAGGGAGTTGACATCTACTAATTATCTCTAACGTCTTTGCTGTTTATGGAAAAGCCCAGATACTGGATATATCTCTATGTGTTTTATGAAAAGAGTTGACTGGGACTAATATCACGGGATCAATGATCTGAAAATCTTACTTGATGTATTATTTACTTTGCTTTAGATCTTGAATACATTTTGAGAATAACTAATGCGAATTGAAATGCAGAGATAAACTGGAGTGTTTTATGTAGCAATATTCTGTGAAAACGCTTTCTATGCCATTCAGGAAGGCAGCACAAATTTATCTCAAAAAGGTTTCTGTATATTGCAAGGTGCAATTTTCTCCACTACATCAAGAGGATAGGAGTTTGATGATGCAAAGTTGATCTCTATGTATATTTAAGTGGAAAGTATTTATACCTTCTCACCCTTAAAATATATCAGCAGACAGTGTAAAAAAGTTTTATGTCAATGAGAAGTTTCTGTTCATTCCAAGCCACCACTGTAAGGAATAAAGCTTAGCTTCTGTACATGGAAAGAGTTAATAATTATCCCTCTACTATAGAGATTTTAAAATGCATATCACAATTTATCATAAAAAAGAATTAATACAACCATTTTCAAGTAAAGCCAGAAATTCTTGCTTCCCATTTCTAGAATAGCTTCTAGAACAGTGCTGTGTACACAGTAGATCTTTATAAACATTTGCTGAGTGAAAGTAAGATTAACTCAACTATTTCTTGGGAAGAACTGGCTTTATTCCTAGTACGTCTTTTAAAAAGTTACTAATCTTCCAGCAGTGTGAATATTAACAATTATATTAACACCTGCCTCATGTCACTTTATGCTTCTAGAGCAAATACATAGTGAAACTTCTTTGATGGCATTTACTGAAAAAAAATTTTTTAAGTAGACTAAGGAAACCACAATCAGGAATATTTACGTCTTATGATTCCCAATGAGAAGTTCTATTTTCATGTTCCTAATATTGCATAAAAGAAAATGCAGTTAGATTATTTTGGTTAACAATTCTGCCTCCTCTTTTGATTTATCATTTATCCAAAGCTATTAATTTCTTTAGACGTTTGGAAAAGAAAAAAAAACTTTTTGATGTTTTAGGTGATTTAAAAATATACTGTGTTGGTGGTGAATGACTTTTGATGACTGTGTTAAGTGCATCTGTACTGTAAGTGAAATGTAATTATTTCTGTGTACCATATGGAGTAACTAAGGTCATTGTTTTTGACAATTTTGTTTGAAATTCATGTATCTTATTTCAAAGGATAGCATAATATCTGCATTATGCTGGAAAAAATAGACCTTTGGAGAATACTTAAATAAAACATGTGCATGCTTGAACAGGACAAAATACTTGACTGTTGTCCTTTTTTCTTAGATTTCATTTCTTTCCAACATCTAGGATGTGCTATACTCTTAATATATATGTGGGAGAACAAAGTAACACACACAGACAAAAAAAACAATAATTGGAAGTAACACAAGTCTAGTCTAAACTGGAAAAGACAGCAGCTTTCTGCCAACAATGGGAATTTTGTCATACTTTAACAGAAAAATTAATATTATTTAAATAAGGCCAGTCCCAGGACCTTATGTACTTCTTAATCATCACTGTTTGCATTAAGCAAAGAGAAGCTCTGTGTAACAGCTTTGGTCAGGACAGAGTTCATTAAATTCTTAATCAAAGTCTTTTTTCTATCTAAGAAAACAGGGTGATTTATTTGTCTAGCCATATATGAGCATATATGTGTGTGTGTAAATATTCATACACATATCCATAGGTTTTCATTCATTTTTTAAAAAAATATACACATACCATGATTTCTCTTCAATATCTTAGAGGGGACAAAAAGCAAGGAACTGTTAGGAGATTATTATTAGAAGAAAAAGGACAAAGTAAATCATTTAGTACAGAGATTGATTTCAACTAGTGATATACTCATACATGAATCTCTTGGTGGATAGTCTTTATATTTTCTTGTTTAATTCTTTTACTTTCCAGCCCTTGGCTTATTGAGCTGTCAATCCTGCATTAAAAAGGTTCAACATACTTTCCTATTCCTTCAACTTAGTCATAACGTTGGCTTGAAAATAGCCACTGGGGAATTATATTAATGTCTGCCAGCAGCATTGCTCAAAAGAATAAAAAAGGGTTCGTGATATCAAATAGATGACTCCTCAGAGTTTCATAAGAATGACATCTCCTCTTCCCTAGAGTGTTATTAAGGTGTTTATTTTATTAACTCACAGGTACAAGAATGGTTATTGCTTTGCACTGTGTAAACTTCATCAGAATTTTCACACAATTTATAGGCACACTGTGTGTGTATGTGTGTGTGTGTGTATGTATAATTTTTTTTTTTTTTTTGGCTTTTTTGTGACCAGTAAGGGGAACGCAACCCTTGGCTTGGTGTCGCGCGTACCGCGCTCAGCCAGTGAGCGCACTGGCCATCCCTATATAGGATCCGAACCCGTGGCAGGAGCGCTGCTGCGCTCCCAAGCGCCGCACTCTCCTGAGTGCGCCACGGGGCCGGCCCTATAATATTTTTAATGAGGATTTAAATTGTATCTACCTCAGCTGGTTGTGTTTAGGATAGTAAAACATTCTTCAAAGAGTGTGATTTTTTTTTTTTTACCTCTAAGGAATTATTATTTTTGAACAGAAAGTTTACTTAAAATAATTATAAAATTTATTTATTGTAAAAGGTTTTTAGTTGAAAATAATATTAGAGCCATAATTTACCTTCTGTCATTTGCTCTTTACTGCCTGCCTTGCCTTTTTCCTCCTTTCTCTTCAATCACTCATTATTCCTTTAGCAGAGTATTCTCCCCCTTTCCTTAATCATATTTTCTCTGGTTTTTCTATGGAAATCCATTAGGTGACTACTGTTTATTCTACATATAACTCAATTTATTGAGTGCATATGATAGGTGCTGAAGAAATAGAGATTAAGGATCCAGAACCAGTCCTCCCCAAGCAATTATATAGTGGAAAATATCTCAAAGTACTCTTTCCTTCACACTGCTATTCATAATCTTACATTGCAAGTCTTTTCCTTTCTACCATATTGAAAGTCACTTTTCTACTTCAATCTCCTGAAGACGTCTCTTCAACAGAGGTTACATAAAAACACTGTTCTTCAAAGTACTTTCTGAAATCTTTCCATCACATCACTAAAGTCCTCTTTCTGTAGGCAATGGTTCTCTTTTTCGGGGTTGGGGGTGGGGGTGGAGCAATGCACATGAATCCCTACCTGCTTGGAGAAAGAATATAACACAAGGCAATATAAAACAAAACCAGAAAGGAGGCAGAGCTTCGCATCTATGATTCGATCATGGTTAGGAAACTAACTTCTCCCCAAGTATCCACTCTGCCTTTCCTACCATTGTTTCAGAGAATGTGAAAAAAGCTATTACATAGTTTTTCAGGAGGAGTAAAACAAGATATTGCTGTGAATCCTAACGCCACAGGTCCAGTTAGTTCATCTGATTCATGCAACTAAAATATCAGAGAAAAAACAAGAGAGCAGAATATCTTTTAAAAAGGTAATTTTCTAATCAAGTGCACTTACCAAAATGGTCAGCCTAGCTTGTCCATGTCAATTCCAAAGCACGGGGATGGCAGAATTAGGGTTTGAATGGGAAGGTACCAGAGATCTGGAGAAAGATTTAGAGGAATCGTGGAAGACAAGTGTAGGGGGGGGTAGCAAGAGCTACAAAGTGAGAGAGAGGCGTCTTCATTCTTTGATTCTAATTAACAATCCAGCATATTTGAGTTTCGTTTAGATCTATTTAATTCCTTTGTTAGAGCTATGAACTGCAACACCAAAAGGTATTTATCTCAAACTATTATCAATTTTTAATAGTCATGCACAAACCGATTGCTCAGAATCTCCCAGACTCCTGTGCAACAGGGAACAGAACCCTAAAAGAGCGGAATAAGGAACTGGAACTGAGAAATACGAAAGGGAATTGAAAGATCCAAGGTTGAATGGATCTTAAATTGGTAGATAAATCTGTTAAATTTCCCAGTCAAAGACACCATCCTGGAGAGGCAGAAGATTTCATATTACAGGGTATAAAACTTTCAAAAGTAAAAATGTCATGTACATTGCAATTTTATGTAGGACTCAATTTGGACTTGTATTATTTTTATTCCCAGCCAACCTGGTAAGAAACCAATGAACAAACCACAAAAGTAAAATCCTAATGCACCCTTTCAAAGTAGTTTCTTTCTTCAATAGATTCACAGTGAACAGAAGATAAATGATGATTATAGCAAACATGAAAAGATAAAAACAATAATAATGACTACTACATTTATTGGGACTTAAATATATGCCAGGCACTGTGCTACTCACTTTACATATACCAATCCATTAAGTAATTGCACTAGCCACATTTTCTGTTGAGAAAACCTTAGCACTGAAAAATTATGAGAATGGATTTTCCTAATTTAGATAATATAAATCTTAAAATTAAATCATGCATCTCTGTGATAGAGTCTTATTGTGTAGAAATATTGTTGCTATGTCTTCTTTTAGGGTAAAACAAATTAAAGGCAATGGGGTTGGTGATGCAGAGAGAAGCCTTGGTTATATCCATGCTTTAGTGGTTGCAGTGTCATTATTAAAGACAGTTTTCCTTCCTATTTTCTTTGGTGCCAATTTTTTTTTAATCATGAAAAGTATGTTGCTAATAACTACTCCCTAATTGACTATTGGTAAATTAAAATAAAATGGAAACTACCTAGGATATATATTGCTGTTCTAATCGACAAAGATTTTTCCAACACAATTAGTTGATTTTCCAATAACAGAGAGAACTATGTGTTAGAGCAACCATCATCTCTCACTTGCTCCCCATTTTGAACAAGGCCTGCCAAAATTTTCAAGCTTGTCGATCGGAGCAGTAGTTACAGCCTGCAGCATCTAATTGGCCCCCAGTCCAAGTCCTGGAGGCTGACGAAAATGAAACTGAAATATTTTGGGATTACTGTCAATGGCCGTAATTCCCACCCTTCGTTATCTTTTGTATCTCCCAAAATTCTTGCAGGCAAAAATTTCAGAGGATGACAGTGAAGTGCCTGTTGGCATTTAATAGTACATGCAAAATAAGATGCAGAGAGATTCAGATAGACAAAATAACTGCATGATTCAGTATCCCAAATTACTATGATATGATTAAAAATATTCTCTGATTTTTTCCATACTCACAAAGAATTCCAAAATTTTTCTTTTAGGTCATTGATATTTTTTATTTGTTCCTAATACAATAGAAAGCTTCAATAAAGGTGTAAACACAGACATTTGATTTATACAGAACTGTAGAAAATTTAATGTACCTTTTAAAATGGTACTTGGGATATAACTACTTGCCATAAAACTTCTTTGGGTTTCATCGTTTGCTTGTTTTATGTTCCAAAATAACAGTGGCCTATCAATAATATCTCTTTATCTTCCACTTCAATCTTTCCCTTCCTACTTCTCAAATGGGAAATGCATTATCCATTATAAGTATTAATGGTGTGACCAAAACCTCTTTTACATGAAAAATTAAGGTGCAGTTATTATTCAAAAGACAAGTATCAAAAACTTATTATGTATAGCTTGTCATGATCAAATCCTGACGATAAAGTATAAAAATTTGATATGACAAACTTGATAAGATAAATTATATTTCAACAAAATTGTAAAAATTTTATTATAAAAATAATAAAACTTCTCCAAATTGTTATACAGAAGGATAAAAAAATCTCATTTCTCTTTTTTTCCAAACTAGGAATACACAGCAGTTAAACTGTAATATTAAATCACACTGCACTATGAAAAGGAGGCATATACATAGAACACCCGGCAACACCACTAATGTGTAAAATAAAATGCAATTATTCATACAAATGTGCAAGAGCCCACTAATGAAAGACTAATGAGAGAAATGGTGCATGACCGACTGAAAGAACATGAAACCATATATCATTTGGGAGAAACAGAGTTTAAAAGATCAGAAGAATAGAATATCTTCTTAGTGTCTTCAGCTATCTTATCTAGAATTCAGTTCATTGGGAAAGATTTTGAGAATTTAGTTAGATTTTGCTGTAATTATTTACTATTAGATATAGACAGAAATTTTACAGGATTGTCTGAAATTAATTCAGGACATTTCCCCTATCACCTGTATCCTCAAATTATAGTAAGTATCTCAACCCAAATTTAGACTGAATGCTAAAATTTTTATAATAAACTCAATTTAGGAGACTAAGATTGAGGCCATCGGTTAAAAAATGAGTACCTCAGTTTCTGAGTAACTCTGATTCTTATTAAATGTTTCTGTAGTTTTTCCTGACTGTAA